ACAATTTTGCCCAGAGAACACATAAAGAACACACACACACACACACACACACACACACACAGAGAGAGTGAGAGAGACTTCAGTGAGGTTTCTAACCTCAGCTAACACAAAAAGGGGTCGAGTTTATGAAAGCAAAGACAGAAAACGTGGAAATAGAGAAAGAGAGGGGGGACAGAAAAAGAGGTTGATGGAGTGGAGAGGGCCAGAGGCTGAGAGAGAAACTATCATCAGCCTGTACACGTTTCAGCTTTCTGTGCTTAATGGACTCGGTGGGCAGAAAAGACAGCGGAGCTGAACAGAGAGAGAGAGTTATTGAAAGTATGATGCATTAATGGCTCGTATTAATAACACAGCAGGACCAAACAAAATCATTTTGGCTCATCTCTAACTGACCACTCTCTTACCACAGTGACCAGGCGTTCCAGTTTTCCGCGGACAGTCCTTGTTTTTTTGTCCCCGTCTTGTGTGTCTACAGCCTGAAATGTGAAATTATTCTTAATGAGCCAGATATTACACACAAAATATCACTGCAGCATACAATGCGTAATTTCAATTTCAACTGTTCACACAATTTTAGGGTAAAAAACTGAACAGAAGACAATTAAAAACTGAATATTCCGTATACTGTAAATAAAGTAGTTTACAATACTATGTCAGAGTATGATTTACCACAATTACCGGAGTCAGAGTACACAAAACCAGAATCGTTCCCCTTCGAATTATTTAATTCATAGTTTACATCAGTGGAAATGTAAATTAATCGTGAACTAGAAATGTCCCTGGTTTTCATTTCAGAAATCTAGTCACCTTAGTGTGTGAGAGAGTTCTAAAGTCCAATTCAATTGTATTGCTGCACTGAAAGGGGAAAATGGGTCAATATTCAACCGTAGTTTCATTAGCTACTGAAAACATGTGTTGTGTTTACACCTCTGAGCTGTTGGTCTCCAACATTCCATTTCTTTATCTGTCACTCCTCTCTTTTGGTCTCGATATGACCTCCCTCTCTCTCGCTAGCAGCAGATGTTGTTGTGTAGCTGCTCCTCAAACCCCCTACGGGCATGAAAAGTGAACACAACGAACTCAACCCACACCACAAGGCTGGGCGCCCCGGTCCGCTATGCGGTCCCGTCTGACCGACACATCAATATGATTACAGCATATACATCAGTGAGGTTCTCCTCAACAAAACCCAGCCACTTATCCTCACACATTCACCACACATTCTTCTTTTGCCCCGGGCATTTCTCGGCCCTTCGCTGAATAAGATGAGCCCATCAATTCAATGCAACAGAGATATTGATTCAAGTGAATGGTGTTATAACCGTTTATATAACGTTTATATGACCGCTGCCCAAGGACATCGTATTATGCCGATGCATTCATTCATATTTGCTGTAGAAGACAGACAGAGCAGGTTCTCTGGTGGAGTGCTCAGAAATTCAACATGGATCTGTTAGTCTGATACTGCTGACGAATAAACCTACAGTTCAGTAGCGCAAACTGTGAAAATGCAGCTATTCAGGGATTATATTAATTAGTCATAATTTGGCCAGATCTGAAATCCAGGATTGTTTTGGACAATTACTGTGTCTGATTGCCATATTTGGCAGGTGTCCTGACAAAGAGAACCTAGAAGGATATTATCCATGCTCAGGCTTGAAAATGCAACACTCGTTGCAATTTGTAACTATTTTACGTTTTGGCAAATCGGTGGCTAATTCATATTTAAAGAAACGGTTCACCCAAAAATGAAAATTTTTTGATAAATCACTCACCCTCAGGCCATCCAAGATGAGTTTGCTTCTTCATTGGATTTGGAGAAATTTAGCATTAGATGACCATATGTATATGATTAGCCTATATATGGATCCTCTGCAGTGAATGGGTGCCGTCAGAATCAGAGTTTAAACAGCTGATAAAAACATCACAATAATCCACAAGTAATCCACATGCCTCCAGTCCATTAATTAACATCGTGTGAAGTGAAAAGCCACATCCCATCCTCTCATTCTGACAGCACCCATTCACTGCAGAAGATCCACTGGGGATCAAGTGATGTAATGATAAATTTCTCCAAATCTGTTCTGATGAAGAAACAAACTCATCTACATCTTGGATGGCCTGAGGGTGAGTATTCAGCTCATTTTAATTTTAAGTTAAACAGTTCCTTTATCTTGTACAATCTCATTCATATACTTTTGTCAGAGCTGCTTACAGTTAGGTTTAGGGGTGGACCTTGATGCTTATTATTCTAAAAATCGTAAGTTAGCAAAACAGTGCTGCTGATTGATTCTCATTTGTTGCCACTTTAAAATATAATTGTCACTGCAACTATTGCACTGCAGTACTTGCCAGTTTAGGTCCACTGCGCAGTGTTAGGATTACACATAATTTCTGCCTGACAAAGGCGCATTTATTGTGGTACATACTGATAAGTATATTCTGCTGACAAAATGCTCATATTGTAATGTTAACGGTAGTTCATCCTGACAAATAAGCACATTTTCTCAGACAACTACAAATTATTGGTAGATCCTGGGTGGCTTGATCATTTCAGAATTTGCTTTTTGATGTAGAGTTTGCTTTCAAGTCATGTTCAGATCATTTAAGAAGAGAAATAGCTCTGATGGCCACAACTTATTGTTAGTAACAATGATTTCTCTTTGGGATCCTAAATATACAATAGGTCTCCGAACTAACAGGTGGGGGGTGGGCTGTATTTCAATAGCCATAACAATAGTGACTGTGAAAATCTTTATATAAGTAGTATATAATTCAATAGAACAAATCTTAACAATAAAATGGCTCTGAGTCTCTCATAAATGGGTATTTTGAAGGATCTCCAGGGCCCTCAAAAAGTGTGAATGATAGAGATCTGCATTCATATACTGTATATTGCAGTGTGCTGTTGTCACCTGGTGGCTGCAAAGGAAACTACACTATTCATTTGGGCTCTGCAGTAACATGAGTCGTATTTTATGGAGTTTGGCTCATTGCACCTATGTAAAATAAGTAAACATAAATCTTGATGTAATGGACAATCACGTTGTGGAAAAGCAGAGAAAGAAATTTTGTTAATAAGTTCCGTTATTTATGCTTAAAATAATAAAGGCATTTTATTTTAGCCATTGAGTTTTTTTGTTTGTTTTTTTTCTGGCCCTGTGGAGTTTTAGAAAAGAGACTTTTCCACCATCATCTAAAATTATGCATTAGTAGTATGCATATTATATTTTAAACATTTGTGGAATAAAATGGCAGGCTTGTTTAGTTCACCTAAAAATGAAAATTAGCCCATAAATTACTCACTCTCAAGTCATCCTAAGTGTATATGACTTTCTTCGTTCAGACGAATCCAGTCGGAGTTATATTAAAAATGGTCTTTGATCTTTCAAGCTGTTTAATGGCACTCAGCGGGTGTTGCAGTGCATCCGTCCAAAAGAAGAGAAATAAAAAGCGCCCATCCTTAAAAAAAGTGTCTCACATGGCTCAGGGGGGTGAACAAAGGTCTCCTGTAGCGAATCGATGCGTTTTTGTAAGAAAAATATCCATATTCAAAACGTAATAATCACTTTAATGTAGCTTGCGCCAACAGTTATACACGGAAGCAGCTCCGGGCGGATGACGTGTGAGTTCAGCGTTGGGCGCTTTTTATTTCTCTTCTTTTGGACGGATGCACTGCAACACCCGCTGAGTGCCATTAAACAGCTTGAAAGATCAAAGACCATTTTTAATATAACTCCGACTGGATTCATCTGAAAGAAGAAAGTCATATACACCTAGGATGACTTGAGGGTGAGTAATTTATGGGTTAATTTTCATTTTTGGGTGAACTAACCCTTTTTAATAAGACTAGGCTAAAAGGTAGTGTTTTACGTATCCTAAATACGCGCAAATAAATACTTTCACATGTTTTGCATAATTTGCCAAAACAGCTTGACTGTAAATGAAACAAAAAATATATACAGTACAATATACAGAGTTTTTACCTTGTTGTTCCTGTTTTCTACCATGCCTTACGAGGCCATGCATTAGTCTATTTGTTTCATGACTTAAAAGTTGTTTTCTTTTGTCTTTTGTTTAGTTTTTTCCCCCTAGTCTAGAGGTAACAAGTCATTTTCAAGAATACATTTGTAATACGTGAATTTATTTATGTTTAAAACAAACAAAAAAAAATATATATATATATATATGTGCCCAAGGTTCTTATTCAGGACAAGTCCCATTTTCTAAAACCATACTGGAACCGCACGTGCATTCTTCCGCTAAATGTAAAATATTCTGACAAGAGTTTATTCAGTGGCGCCACAAACAGCGACAACGCGATCACAGTAGTCCGATTCCAAAACTCACGACTCTTATCTTTTTAGCTAATCAAAAACATGCAGCGCAACCCATATACATTTCAAATGCATTTATATGTTGTAGATAATAGTAGTCCGATTATTGAACTAATGACTCTTATGAGCCGGCTCTTTTTTGGTGGATCAATCGTACTGGCCCAGGAAAGTCCGATTCCAGAACGAATGATTCTAACGAGTCGGTTCTTTTAAGTGAATCCAACACATATAGCATACTTCACTGCGTACTACTCTTTCTGCCATGCTAAATATATGACAACGTGTATTTAATGACGCGCATAATTATTTTTATCAGATTCCCAATACCTATTATAGAGCAACTATCTAATGTTTCATTATTAAAATATCTATAAGGAACTGTAAACTATAAGGGAAATGCAACCATTGCGGTATTTAGTAGTCTCGATCATCTCATCTTGTGTGTTTTCAGTGTTGTACCTAATTTAAGTTACCTAAATGAGTAGCATAATTGGAGGATGCGGGCATCGATCCCGCTACCTCTCGCATGCTAAGCGAGCGCTCTACCATCTGAGCTAATCCCCCTCTGACAGAATTGTTGTCGGAAAGTTTTTGTGCAACAGCTCATAGCGTTCCTATGGGTGTTACACTACAATAGTACCGGCGGAAGTGAGTAGAACCAGCCGCGCGGCCGGTTTCATATAGGCGAAAATGTCGACCAGGGTGGGAAGTAAGTGTTATTTTATTTCCTAAACAGAGTCACAATACAGTCTAAAATCAAAACGCTTTGTAAATGGGATTCTGGAGCATTTTAAGCTATGTAAATAGAGCAGCTAATGCTCTTAGTAACGCGGGGGTGAGCAATTTAGTTGCTGCGCTAGTTGGCTTCATGAAAACAAAGACGATCAATGTTTACATTGTCAACACACATTTCTCTCTGTTCTTGAACAAAATTTGCTATTTTACGTTCTGTGTATGTAATATAAATAATTTTCTTTGTGGTATGAATGGTGCATGTTGTTTTAAATAAGTCCCTAAGGTCACACTGCATTATGATCAGCCTTTTTTTTTATCTCAACATAATTTCCCCCCACAATTTTGTCATGAATTGCATTAAATACAACTTCAAATAAAACTTCTATTTTGAACACAACTGTTATTGTAGAACACAAGATGCTGTCTCTGGGTCCGACTGAACCCTGGTCAGTTCGGGAGAAACTCTGTCTCGCGTCCTCAGTGATGAGAAGCGGAGATCAGAACTGGTAAGAATAAATAATTTACCCTCATGATCTTAGAACTGTATTAAGAGTGTAGCATGTTAAATAATGCAGAGCTTTACCACGCAGCAGTGTCTGTATTGTAGCTTTTCCTAATATATGAGGGCATTGTTAATCACCCTTAAACGTGGATTTAAAGCGGCCTTCGTTTACAGAGGATTGTGGCAGTTGACAGATGCAGAATGACAGAAATGTATAGATAGATAGATATTAATTTCACATCATGACTTTTATGTTTTTCAAAATCCTAAAACGTTGTTTTTATTTCCAAGTTTAGAGTTTGAATCTAAGAACAAAGATCACTGGAGTACATTTTACAAGAAAATACTATTTCAGTTTTTTTACTTAAAAATTTTACATTAAATTCAATGTGTTACTCTTCAGTGTATGTAAGTATTTATAAAGGGTTACTGTTAAATGTGTATGATACACTGTTATATTTTTTGTCAGGGTGTCTGTAAGCAGAGCCATCAAGCCATTCTCAGAACCTGGACGACCCCCAGACTGGTTCTCCCAGAAGGTAATTTAAATGAGTGACTGTGAGTGATTTTATTAGTATTAGTGATTTGCTAATAGATTTTTGTTTTAACATGTCAATATGACCACTGCAGCATTGTGCCTCCCAATATTCTGAGCTGCTGGAAACCACAGAGGCCCCAAAGTAAGTAATTCTCTCTCTCTTGTTCTTAAAACATTTGTGCTGAGCATCTTTATTAAATATTGCCATTGTTCTTGCAAAACCCTAAAGAGAAAAATTTTACGATCCTCAAATAATCTGGTCTGAGTAGACAATGAAAAATAATAATCAGCATAGAAGTTGTACTTTATATTTGTGCATGTAAAGCAGTAAATATGTGAAAAAAGCATTTTATGATTTTTGCACAGTGTTTGTGTAATTAGATTCTGGCTATTATCTTAGCCAGTTAGCATGTTGTAGTAGTATTGTTATCATGGCAACCTAAACCATCTCAGTGTATGTTCACAAGTTCACTGGTAAGTTTGACATGTGCACTCCCTGCAGACGTAAACGGGGTGAGAAAGGGGAGGTGGTCGAGACCATTGAGGACGTGATTGTGCGTAGATTGACGTCAGAGAGGATCGAGGAACTCAAGAGGCTGATCAAAGACACACAGGATAAATACAGGTACATCTCCACCTACTTCTCCCTCTCCCTGTCTGTATCTGTCACACATATGTGATAAATGTGTTCTTTCCCTTCAGGAAACTGAAGAAAGAGGTGGATTTGATCCAGGCAGGTCATATGGACCCTAAACTGGAGGAGCTGTGGGCAGATATAGAGCTGTAAGACAGTTCTCTACCGTTTTTCTGTCATGTTATTGGCCTTTCTTTTTCTGACATGTCTCCCAATATAATGTAGTTTTAACCACTCTTGTAGTGATTTCACTTAACAAGCATTATTTCACATTAGGTTAAACCCTCTGAGAAATGGTGGTAATCGTATAAAAATATTTTTATGAAATGCACCATATTTCTTTTTATTTATATATATATATACTATGTATTTTGAGAGGATTTCATAGTATTAAACAATATTCATCTCTAAATTATGCACCATGTACTTATGTTAAGTAATACAAATATTATAAAAATACATATTATTCAGTTTTTTTTTTTTTATGAATGTTTTATATTCCTCATATATATGTCGTATATATATATGTGTGTGTGTGTGTGTTTTCAGACATAATTACTTTTATTAGCTGTTGCATTTGGATATATATTTAGATATCAGTGACTGTTACTGACGACTGTCAACTTTTTTTAATGTTAATTAAATAAAAAATTAAAGTTGTCAGTTTTTGCATTATGATTAGTCAAACCTGAACACAGACAAAACATTTTATTACTCATAATCTTCCAAACATATTTCAAACATAAACATTTTGTAAAAAACCTGCCATTGTGTATGTGTCATTATAAGATTGTGTGTGTTCTCATGCTTGTCAGAAAGAGGAAGCAGGAAGAAGAGGAGGCTGAGCAGAAGAAGAGGGCGACTGAGGCAGCATATCAGGGTGAGATTTACATTCACTCGGCACTTTCAAAAGTTAATGCCTCCACAAAAGAAACAAATTTTTAAAATTATATAAACTTAACAGTCTAACATATTGCTGATGTACTTGCAAATAATATTAGTTTAACATGCATCTTATTGCAAATATATTATATTTTAAATACTAGAAAATTTCTGTTTTTATTACTTTGGGCTTATTTCTGGCAGTGAAATGTTTATTTTGCATAATGATGAACTTATTGAATTTTTTTCTCTTTCTTTCCAGTTCGCCAGGCAGTTAAAAACACACCAAAGAGAGTTCCCTGCGTGACTGTACGTTCTCCACCCATTGCTAGTTCTGCCTGCATGGATGTCTCGCAGCCAGACACATTGCAGCCAATGACGGACGAATCATGTGCCAGTCCCACGGTGAATTCCTGCCTCTTTTTTTATTACCATTTAAACTTAAAGTAGAGACCTGCGCGGGATGGATTTTTCAGTCCCGCAGCCACAAGATTCTGTCCCGCGCCCGCCCGCTCCCGCAGAAATATGTTATCTTGTCCGTCTCCCGCCCGCGACATTCATGTTTTGTCCCGCTCCTGCCCGCAAAAGCACGCATAAAAGTAATCTATATAGATTTTTTTCAGTACATCGAAGAAATTTACATGAAATGGTTCTGTAACATCTCCTAAGCTCTATAGCATCCCAGCATAAACGATCCCGATAAAATATTTGTCATTTACGCTAAGCATCAACATTCACAAACCACTTATTTTTAACAGAAAAGCAGGCATCGGCTGCTGCGTGCATGGTTTGGCATGTCAGAATGCCAGCAAACAGCGCTCCCTTGATTATCACTAAAAGCTGACATCTCAGTTCATTGCGATCTCATAAAGCTCTGTTATAACACAATGAATATATGCACAATTAATCTTTCACAGTGTCTACACTTCGTGTGTTAAAATGGGAGGATTCGTGAGCATGCAATTTCAGCACTGCGGTGAGTGGATTCTAACTAACTTAATCACCTCTGATACATTCACAAACCACTGTTATTTTTAACAGAAAAGCAAGCATGGGCTGCTGCGTGCATGGTTTGGCAAGGCAGAATGCGAGCAGCGCTTTCTTTATTATCACTAAAAGCTGACATCTCAGTTAAACGCGATCTCATAAAGCTCTGTTATAACACATTAAATATATGCACAATTAATCTTTCACAGTGTCTACACTTCGTGTGTTAAAATGGGAGGATTCGTGAGCATGCAATTTCAGCACTGCGGTGAGTGGATTCTAACTAACTTAATCACCTCTGATTGGCCATTGCGTTCCAGAAATCAACAGCTATGTCTGTGATTGGCTACATTGCGCAATGCTTTAAACACGTGTTATAAATAGAAACTCTACCTAGCTTCTGCATGTTAATAATTTTAATGTTAATGTTAGTAGTTCTTTTTGCTTTTGTGCAACAGATAAATAACAATTTATGTTTTTAGACATTTTATGTTTAGATATTTCTATTTTGTGGGAGTCCCGTGAATCATTTTATTCTCCCGCATCCCGCACACACACGATGTCTTCCCGCCCGCACCCGCACTCGCCCATCAAGAGTTGTCCCACGCCGCACCCTGTTGCACTGGGTCCCGCGGTACTCCCACGGGAGTGCAGGTCTCTAACTTAAAGCCGACTCTAAGAAGTAAAACTCATGATTTCTCCGTGTAGGCTCAAGGATTGACCGTCGTCATGCCTGTGTCAGAGGTCACGGGTCCAGGGCCTAAAGAATCAGGTCTGGGCCCTCTGGTAGATGACTCCCCGCAGAAGAAGCACCTTGCCCCGAAAGCCACACCACCTCCCTCCCCACTGCTGTCTGAACTGCTGAAGAAAGGCAGTCTCATCGCTGCCAGCTCTAGACTGGTGAGTGGAGGATACTTTAAAGTATTCAAAATTTAAGCCTTTGGCTTTAAGGGGCATGTTACAGCAAACAGGATTTTGCCTGTGTAATGTCCCAGACCCATTTTCCATTTCTCAACCCTACATTCACGTCTACTTTATATTGTCCTATAAATAAAGTCACCAGAACCCAGAACGATTTCATGGTAGTCAACATACTCTAACATTCACAATGTAAAGCTCCCTCTTCAGGCTAGCCCATTTATACTAATTAAACTGCAAATATGGACAATCAGAAATTATGATATTGACATCACAAAGATTAGCACATTAACATTTAACAACAAAGATTTGCATTGAGTATTCGGCATTTTAACAAGGGCCAAGGTTTTAGTACTCATTTCACGTGCAAAAATGTTAAACCAATCAAAATATATTAAAAGTTTTAGGGGCTATTTACACCACTTTTTTTACATTGTGCTATGCTGCTTTTCAATTGTTTTTCTATGTAAACATTCACTAGACAGTATTTTGTGTGATTCCTTTGCCCTGCGTTTATGTGAACAGCATTTTTAGAGGTGCTGTGACAAAACCGCTTGTTTACCAATATGAGGCAGAAAGCAGGTCGTATAGTGATGTTTTAGTATTATGTATGTACTGTTATAGATTTTCATATTTTTATATGAATATATTTTTGTATTATGTTTTCATTTTAATTTTGTAGTAATGTTCTTATGCTCTTTTCTCATATTTATTAGTTGTTTTATTAGTATTTTTCTCATATTAATTAGGCAAGATTTAGAATTTTCATGTAAGGTTTTTCATTTAATATGTATTTTTTGTTTTATTTCAGCTTAATTTCAATTAACAAAAATGTTTTACAAATAGTGTTCGTTTTAGTTAACGATAATAACCCAGTGTAGATTACAAACGAACCTATGATTGTTTTTGGTGCAAGAAACCTTGACTATCATTAAAAGTGGAGATAAAATTGTTCTGGGTGTGTATGTACCGGGCAGGTGGTTGAAGGGGACGTGGCCACTGGTTTGAGTAATGGATCTCATGGAGTTGAGCTTCACACTGCTGCAACCGCTCTGCCTGCTAATCAAGACATTACAGCCGGTAAACACAGACACTCTTCTTTCTGTTTGTTTTAAATGTGTGCTTTGAATGTCTTCTTTTCAATGTTAAAGGTCCCATGACATGCTGCTTTTTGGATGCTTTTATATAGGCCTAAGTGGTCCCTAGTACTGTATCTGAAGTCTCTTTCCCGAAATTCAGCCTTGGTGCAGAATTTCAGCCACTACGAGCCAGTCCCACAATGAGCTTTCCTTAGGACGTGCCATTTCTGTGTCTGTAGCTTTAAATGCTAATGAGGAGGAGAGAGGCGGGGCAACTGCCATGCTTCGCTCGTTTGCAAGCCATGATGTCTCTCGAGGAAAAAAAAATATTGCGCTCGCCTCGCACGGTAGTAGCTCATTTTCTCATGGGCGGAAGGCAAAGCAGGATACCCAGGGCTCGGTTTACACCTATCGCCATTTCTAGCCACTGGGGGACCATAGGCAGGCTAGGGGAACTCATATTAATGTTAAAAACCTCATAAAGTGAAATTTTCATGCCATGGGACCTTTAAACATTTTCTGTCATTGAACAAACTGAATTTTGAGTTATGCTGTTTGCTTTGGTTTGGCTATTCTTTTGCATTTTTACCATGCGTCCTGCATGCAACTTTTAGATTTCCTGCTCTCTGTATTACATTTATTACGGTGTAGTTTGATTATTGTGAGAGTAGCTGTGTGCTTTAGTGTGTGTGTTTGTAGCGCTATATGTGTGTCTCTCTGTGTCAGATGCTCCTACGTTATCTCGTCTGTTGGAGAGTGCCACCCCAGTGCAGCAACCTGTCAGTGCTGATCCCCCTAAGCCCCCCACAGTGGTCCCCCCAGCCCCGGACCACCTCTCTGTGCCCAAAACAGGTCTCTGATCTCTGTTTTCCTCCCTTCAGCACTCTCTGTAGAACGGTCAGTAGGGCTGTCAAAATGTCTGAAAAACTAAATTCGAATTTTGTACTGAAATTGAATTATATTCGAATTTAAAATGCATAATTTCAGTTAGGGTGAAGAAAAGCTTTTGGCTTCTCTCCTGAGGCCACAAGAGGGCGCATCGATCAAAATATTACTAATGCACGTTTATTCAGTAAGATAACATGACTATCTGTGAAAAAAGTGCATAATGTTTATAAACCATATATAATTAATTAAGTTGCTTAAACAACTATAAACAAAACAGCATCATGTATGTATGCATAGTTTAATACAAAGGGCAGAAAGCCAATCACACAGAGTACATTTTTCATTTAAAAACATGAGATGCAGTGGTATGGGGAAAAAACCCGCCATAAAGTCTCAATATATGTTTTTTTCTAAGTTAAACTTGCATTAATTTTACATGGCTTTCTAAACATGCGGCTCGTTTGTGCGAGACTCAAGTGCAACGCTGATAGATGTCCTTCTAGAAAATGCGCGAAATATGCGTTCTGTGTAAACGGCTTGGTTTCAGTTTTGACGTAAACAAGATCTTCTCCGCATTGATGTTCTCTTTTTCCGCAATATTTTTAATGAACAACGCAGCAGCGCCGCATCTAGTGGCTTCAACTGGATAGGCTAACAAAAACATTATAATGCAACTACACTTACATAGTCATCGCATCTCGTGCGCCACTCATAAGGCTGCAACGTTTTTGCATTCGAATGTGGATTTTTATTTTAAATTGAATGAATACTCGAAATTCGAAAAAAAATTTGACAGCCCTAACGGTCAGTTTGTTTTTGCTCAGGCAGTCTGTTTGTGTCATGTGATGTGTAGTTCATCCCATCATCTTCATCCAATCACAAATCACTCAGACTGCACTGACAGCGCTAGAGTTCTTGGATTATATTTTAGAATAACAGTTAATACAAACAAAGTTTGTGGTCAGCAAGATTTTTTTTTTAATGTTATGAAAGAAGTCTCTTATGCTCACCAATGCTGCATTTATTTAATCAAAATGCAAAAAGAAAAAGTAATGCTGTGAAACTTCATCACAATTTAAAACGGTTTTCCATGTTATTATAATTTTAAATGTAATTTATTCCTTTGATGCAAAGCTGAATTTTCAGCATCATTACTCCAGTCTTCAGTGTCACATGATCCTTCAGAACTCATTCTAATATTCTGATTTGCTGCTCAAGAAGCATTTCTTATGATCCATGTTCATATTAAAGTTATATATTATTTTGTCTTCTTTTTTTTCAGGATTCTTTGATAAATAAAATGTAAAAAAATAAAATAAAATAAACAGCATTCATTTGAAATAGAAATCTTTTGTTACATTATAAATGTATTTGTCACTCTTGATCAATGTAATGCATCTTTGCTAAATAAAAGTAATAATTTCTTTCAAAGAAAAGGCACTGACCACAAAGGCCAAATTCAGCCTTTAAAGGGTTCACCAAAAAATGAAAGTTCTATCATCATTTACTCCCTCCAGTTTTTCCAAAGCTGTATGAGTTATTTTCTTCTATTGAATTCAAAAGAAATATTTTGTGGAATGTTGGTAACCAAACAGTTAACAGTAGCCATTGACTTCCATACTATTTTTTTCCATACTATGCAAATCAATGGCAGTCAAACAGTTGATGGTGGACATTCACCTCCATAGTATTTTTTTTTCAATACTGTGGAAGTCAGTGGCTTACCGTAAACTGTTTGGTTACCAACATTCTTCAAAATATCTTCTTTTGTGTTCAACAGAAGAAAGAAACTTATACTGGTTTGGATCAAGGGTAAGGGTGAGTAAACAATGACAGAACTTTAATTTTTGTGTTAACCATCCCTTTAAAAACATTGTGTTATTTTCTCTTAAAAAGAGTCATCACTTCTTCAGAGCACTTATGAAAGAGATGAACCATAGTAAGAGTACTCTAAGCGATGTGTTTCTTGTTGTGTGTAGGAGCTGCAGCCGTTGCTGAAGGTTCTGGAGCAGAAGCAGTAATGGCAGGGTCGTCCACGCCGGTGGAGGTGGAGGGGAAAGAGGCAGAGCTGGTGGAGGAGGACACGGTGGTGTCTGTGTCATACATGGGACATGAACTGGACTTGGAGACAGTGGGAGACATCATTGCAATCATAGAGGAGAAGGTATACACACACAGACACGCATACAACCACCTGTGGACAGTTGTGATGATGCGATTGGTTGCTACTTCGTGTAGTGTTAAAGGGATAGTTCACTCAAAATGGAAAATTCTGTCCTCATTTACTTACCCTCTAGTTGTTCCAAACCTGTATGAGTTTCTTTCTTCTGTTGAGCACAAAAGAAGATATTTTGCTAATTAAACAGTTGACGGTAGCCATTTACTTCCATAGTATGGAAAAAAAATGCCATGAACATCAGTGGGTTCCATTTGACTCTCTGACCCACCAAACGCTTTCATGATTCCCGCCGTTTTTTTAATAAACTCTTAAAACAGAAAATAGTTCAAAAGCTTTTCCTTTCTGTTGCCAAATCTGAAATGAAGTATTCAAATACTTCTGTCTCAGGTGGACGATCCCGTGGAGGCTTTGGACGCAGCCGCGGTGGAGGCGGCTCTCTCTCTCTGTGAGGACCCAGCGGTCGGGGGCCACCCCATCACCAGCCCTTGGGAGGCACAGACCTTTAAGGCAGCTGAACCAGAGCCCATCGTCCAGCAGAGTCCTGCCCCAGCGGTCACGCAGAGCTGCCCTGACCCCGCGGGTGTGCAGGGAGAAATGGAGGTTCTGGTAGAGGAGGCTACAGAAGCCGAAGCGGTTGACGAAGTGACGGGGGACACTGTGGTGCCTGCCGCCCCTGACACAGAGCAGAGCCAGGACTCTGAGGTTAAGACGGAGGGCGAGAGGCAAGGAGAGGGAGAAGGAGGGATGGAGGAAACGCAGCAGGAGAACAGAACCCCGAGTCCAGCCGTGAAGTGTGAGGGGGAAGACTGGGTTCAGCCAGAGACCGTGACACCATGTCTGGACTCAGAGGATAGCTCAGCCTCGGCAAAAGACACAAAGGTTTCAGCTAAGAGTTATTTTAAATTGTAATAATATTTCACAATCTTAACATGTTTTCATGTCATATGTTTGGGAAAAAAAGTTTTTTAGCTTAGTCCACTATGAATCACTTATGATTATATCGTCAGATAAAAGCATAAAATGTTAAAAGGAAATGTCTTTTTGTAGAAAGTGAATGAGCAAAGACAGATGACCTCAAAAAATGACAAAAAGCACAATAAAAGTTTGTAAAGTCTATAAGACACATGCACAAGTATTATGAAGTCATAAAATAGTTTTAAATGAGTGAAAGACCAAAATGTAAGTTATTTACTAAAAATTATACCTTTGGCTGAAATCCTGAATCTCATTTGCATTCAAATATGGTATGACAATACACATTGCCACAGATTTGGGCATCAAACCTGGTCTGAAGTGTCTTGACATGCTATATTTAAATGGCTGTGAATGCAAATGAGATTTGAGCCGAATGGGAAGAAAACGATTCAGTAACAAAATAAATGAGACATTCTGCAAAAATCTACTTTTTTTCTGTAGAAGATCAAGAGTCAAATAATTAGGATGAAGACATCATAGCAGAATTTTCAATTTTGGGTAAACTACACTTTTAACCCATTTAATCCAGAAATATTTTTGAAATACCTCTGAGATTTTAATAATTTAACAATAAATTCAAATGTTCTTGGTTCTCTGATGTTGGTTAATGGTTACATGACATACAGGTAAGCAAATAAAGTTTTTTTTAATTTTAAAATTATTTTAATTTTACACTTTTCACAAACACCCTGCATTTCTCTCACAGATTGAATTGAAGGATGAATTAGTAACTCTATTCAGTTCAGTTCAATTCAAGTTTATTTGTATAGCGCTTTTCACGATACAAATCGTTGCAAAGCAACTTTACAGCAAATTAGGTTTCTAAAATATTTAGTGGTAGCTTATCAGTGGTGACTGTCAGTTAATGTACATATGGCAGAAATGTACAGAAAAATCAATTAAAGACATAATCAAACAGACGATGAACACTATTAACAGCAATTATTATATAGCAAAATGTGGTGGTTCTGTATGTTGTTTCAGGGTTGGCATCATCTGAGGTCCTCTGAGGGGTTGGCATCATCTCTTCTCATGTGTTCTGGATCCAGACTGAAGCTTGGCAAAAACAGAGGCATCATCTCTTCTCAGGTGTTCTGGATCCAGACTGAAGCTTGTGTAAATCTCGTGGCAAAAACAGAGAAACAAATAGAGAGATAATTAGCATAGCTGC